TCGTATCATATTGTATCGTATCATATTGTACCGTATCGTATCATATTGTACCGTATCGTATCATATTGTACCATATCGTATCGTATATTGTACTGTATTGTATCATATTGTACCGTATCGTATCATATTGTACCGTATCGTATCATATTGTACCGCATCTTATATGATGACACAGTCAAATATCAAACATTCAGCAGGAGGGTTCTGGGTGTGTTTAGGACAGTAAGTGCTTCCTCCTCTTCCTCTGACAGCAGAGTGGATCAGGTTTCTGTCCTAATGCAGGAGACCAGCCCTTCCTGACTCCTCTCCCTCTCTGTCTCTCTGTTTCTGTGTTTTTATTTATTTATTAGATTATTTCAATTAAAAACACAGAAACAGCTCTGTGTTAAACAACGAGATGGAGTTTGTTTCTGAACATCTGGATATCTGATCAAAGCTTTTCTCAGAGGAGCTTCGGCTCTTTGGAGACCTTTATTTAAAGATAGAAATAAAGATGTTCCGCAGACAGTGAACAACAAACAGCTGGAGGAACGGTTCAGAGATCTGATTTTACCATAGTTTGTCCAGATTATGTATTATTTTAATAAAAGCCTGTAGCTGATGATGTAGTTGATCTGTAGTTAGATTGAATATTTTCCCTGACAAACAACAAGAGTTCAGCTCTTTTCAGGGCTTGTTTTCACTTAAAAAGGGGTGGAGCCTTAACTGCAGCTATCACCTGGATGTGTTGCTCCTTCAGACCAGGTGGTAATGACCTCTGACACCTTAACACGGTGAAGATCACCTGAGATCTGTTTGAAACCTTTAGACCTGCTGCTGGTCTTTCAGGTATTTCACTGGACTGTTGGTGGACTCTGTCCTTCAGGGTTGCTGCTCCGGTTGATCAGGAACTGTTGATCTGCTCCTCTGTAGGACTCTGTAGACTCAGCTCATGGACCTTCAGACTTCTGGGTCACTCAGAGCAGGTCTCAGAACAGAGACAGGAACCTGAGTGGATCTTTGAAGGGATTATTTTACCATCATGTGACCTTTGATGTAGGAGGTTTTAATCCAGCGGGACATCTGATTGGTCCGTTTGTTGCTGCAAACATCAGTTCTGATCCACTAATCCTGGTTTATATAACTGATGTAACACAGCAGGAGGATTAAAGCCAAACTTTCCTCCTGAGACCACGTTAACATCTGCTTCTGTCGGAGGATTTGATCTGTTCGGCTGCAGAAACTCCTGGATTATTTCTGTTCAAGGTTGTCTGACGATCGTCTGATTAAAGTAAGTGACGAGAAAAATGATCGTTTTCTGTAAAACTCTGAGCGTCACGTCACCGAGACCTGCTGAAGGAGCTGGCAGCCAGGTGTTAGAGCTAAAACCAGCAGAACAGCAGCTAAAATCAGATGAGCAGCAGCTAAAATCAGATGAGCAGCAGCTAAAATCAGATGAGCAGCAGCTAAAATCAGATGAGCAGCAGCTAAAATCAGATGAGCAGCAGCTAAAATCAGATGAGCAGCAGCTAAAATAAGATGAGCAGCAGCTAAAACAGGAGCTTGTTTTTATTTTGACGTCAGTTTTAGGACCTGTTCCATAAAGTTTCCTCCAGCTGACTTCCTGTCTCTCCTGAGGCTGGTCTGTAGTTGAATGCCTGCCTTGCTCTCTGCCGTGTCACGCTCCGCTGCCTGGAGCCCTCCCTCCCCTCAGAGGTTGTTACCATGGTAACGGTCTCGGGGGGCTGTCAGGTGATTGGCTGTCCCAGGACTTTGTTTTTCCTGCTCTGAGTGAAGCGACGCTCTGCTCGCTGACAGAGCTCCTGCTTCGTGACGGGGTGGGGGTCCGGGTGAACCTGGGGGGTCTGAGTGAACCTGGGG